ACACTTGATCTTAGCCAAAAGGCCGAGAAGCGATTCCTAGTTTATTGCATTTGATCTAAGCGTTGGACAATTGAAAAGAACACAGAGTCAACCGTTTGGCATTTTACAGTTTGTATTTTAACTTTAAACACAAAATCAACATGTTTCAAATTAAGTATAAAGCTGAAGTAGTAAAATGTGTATTGTTTGACAGACATGGGTACCAATGACGGGTAATATTACTCCTTCAAGATGAACATAATACAGTGGAAAAAGCAGAATTTTATATGAAAAAACTCTCCTAAACCTATGATTAAAATCTAGATTTAAAAAAATAGTGTGAAAACTGCTTATGGAAGCTTGTCTATATTAGACTATTGCCTTAAATAACCCAAAGTCATCTGCTGTTACAGACATCACAGAGAATGAAGGAAAAAGAAAAAGCAATAGGGAAAAATTCAAAAAATAGAAAAAAGAAAAAATATGAAAACGTGAAGATTTTTAAAAATCACTTTATACAAGTGTATAGCTAACCTGGACTACACAATGCCTAGCTCACAGGAAGTGGCAACAAAAGGCAGGCAAACAAATCCACACGTTGTGGGGGCTGGCAGGTGGCGTGGTGGTTAAAGGCGCTGGATTCCCACACGGCCGACTGTGGTTCGGGTCTCAAGCCTGGCAGCTTGCTTTCTTGCTTTCCCTTTCTCTCTCTCTCTGTCTCTGTCATGTCAAACTAAAAATAATAATAATGATGATAACAAATGGAATTAAATAAATAAATAAATAAATAATTCTTAAAATAAATAAGAAATCGGCACCCCGAATGGCATCCGTTGGCAGGGGCACTTTGCCACAGAACTCTAGGGGCACCACGGGCATTGCAGTGGACATGGTGCCAGGACTCAGCCTGCCCCACCAAACACCAAAGCTTCCATCATGTAAATGTTTCAAAGTTTCCAAGACAGTATAGAACCACAATCGGTGACAGACACAAAATACCCAAGTCAGTATTGTTCACTTTCCAGAAAAGCAAATAAATATATAAGGGAGAGGTCCAGTGGCTTTTCTGTCAGTTACGTTTCGAGATCTCCACCTGTTGTATCGAAGCTGTCAGAGGGGACGTGCAAGAGGATTGCCTCAGACACTGTATGGCTGTTTATTTCTTTTCAGAGGCTTTCACCTTAGAGCCTGTGCACTCTACAGAGAGGGACTTTCTCTTCCTGGGATCTTGGGTACACACGCACATGCACCCGGTGTGATTTTGAAGCTACCAGGTCGGGGACTTGTAACCCAATCTGCCATGTGAGAGCCCAGCGCCTTAACCACTATGCCATCTGCTGGCTCCTTTAGGGCTGTTCTGTAACTCTCAGAAATCAGGCTCAGAAGTGTTATGCAAACCGGTATTATAAGACATTCCAGTCCCAAACCTTGGCATAAAGGGGTGCGGGGTGACTTGTCTAAACCCTTCAGTATGTACCAACTTATATTTAAATGACTCTGCAGGAGAGGAGAGCTTCCCTTCCCTTCCTATACGTATTCATGGAGTCTCATTGCAGCACTGTCAGCACTGAAAGACAGCCAAGCAGGAAGAAGAAAAACCCTGCCGCACTGACAAGACGTCTTTGGTTAGTGTAATCAGATAGTAAGCTATATTTCTTGTCTATTGGAATTTCATTCAGATGACTAAAGGGCTTTATTCACCTTATGATAAAAATTAGACGCTTGCAAAAATAAGTTTCTGACAGTTCACATCGAAATGCATTGAATTGGTGTTAGATCAAGATGAAACAGCCTGATTTCCAAAAATGCCCTCCATCAAATGTTTCACTAGGCTCCTGTAAAAGCAATGTTAGTAATTACGCTACTTTTTTCTTTATTTTATTTTTCGCCTTATGCGGGAAACTGGCCAACATAATTTGCCAACACACTTCGTAAACCAGATCATTTTAAGCCAGGTTACTTTATCTAATGCCTACGGCTGAGTGACAAGAAGAGAGAAGGAAGGAGGCTCCAATACTACTTTGCTAGGATCGTTTTTCAGTATAGCAAAAGGACAACTGATTCTATAAGGCAGCGTTTCTCCAACTGATCTGATCAGGACACTCAACTGGGAAGCTTGTTAAAAGTACAGGTTCTGGGACCAGCAGTTAGCATAATGGCTATGTTGCTGGACTCCCACGTAGTCGACCGCAGTTCAAGTCCCAGACCCGGTGGCTTAAAACTCCTGCCGGGTGCGTGTGCGTGTGTGCCCAAGATCCCGAGAGGAGAATGGAGGAGAAGGGATTGCGGTGTGACCATCCCCCCTGGGGGGTGATTTCTTGCTTTCTATCTCTCTGTCTCTGTCTGTCTGGTGAGCGCACACGCCCTATAGTAAAAACCTCTCCAAAAAAAAAAAAAAAAAGGACAGGTTCCTTGTGAGCTCACCGATAGGTTCTGATTCCTGGTGTTTGCAATGTGGCTCAGAATCGTGTCTTAATCAAAGCACCTGAATCAGTTTTAGGATCAGGTTAATTTAAGAAATATGTGGAGGGTCAGCAGGTGGTGTAGTGGTTAAGACACTGGACTCCCATATGGCCAACTGTAGTTTGAGTCCCAGACCAGGCAGTTTGAAAATCACACCGGGCCATTGTGCATGTATGCCCAAAATCCTAGGAGAGGAATGGAGAAGAAGGGATTGCGCCATGGCCATCCCCTGGGGAGGAGTGTGGGTGATTTCTCACTTTCCCTCTCACCATCTCTCTCTGTTTCTCTGGTGAGCACACATACACTATGGGAATAAAACAAACAAAAACTTAAAAAAAGAGAGTGAGAAATATGTGGAACCATGGAAAGAACTGTCCGAGGCCATGTTCTAAACTCCGGGGTCACCAGCTCTTCTGTGTGGCCTTCTCCGAGTCATCTTATCTCACTGCACCTCCATTTCCTCAGTTGTAAAAGTAAGAGCAAAACAACAAAAAAGAGTTGGTTTTAGCCCACAAGCCCCAAGAAGCCAGGAAGCAGGTGACCTCGGCACACTGCTATGCGGCCTATACCTCTGCTGGCTCCGCCCCCCCGGCCTGGCCTCTCCCTGCCCTTGGACCGCCCAGGTGAGCTGCAAGGCTCCTGTCAGCTGGAAGGCTATGTGCTTCTTCAGCAAATCAGTAATAGCACGATGCTTTAGTTCTACCATTCATAAAGGAATGATTATTTTCAAACTCAAGAAAGGCCCCCACTTCGAATTTTTAAAATAATTATTTAATGTATCATTATTATTTTTTTTAATTTCCTATAGGGCATGTGCACTTCCCAGAGAACGATGGGGATGGGGGAGGAGTGAGAACGCCAGCTGCCAGGTCCAGGGGGTTGGCCACGTCCAGCGCCTCAGCCACCAGGCCACCTGCCGGCCCTTCCATGCCTTGTTCCTGGCATCAAGGGGAGCACATTTCGGGTGAGGCTTTTGAAGGACACAGCTTGGGTGATCAGGTTTCCTGCCTCCCTCACTGCGATGGTGGAAGGTACCAAACTGGAAGCACTGAGCACACGCTTCCACTGAGCAGTGCTCAGCTCATAGCAGATGCTCAATAAATGTGAGACCAGCAGTTGGAGTAATGGCTGTGTCGCTGGACTCTCATGTAGTCGATTGTGGTTTGAGTCCCGGACCAAGTGGCTTTAACTCACACCAGGAGTGTGTGCGTGCCCAAGATCCCGAGAAGAGAATGGAGGAGAAAGGATTGCGGTGTGGCCATCCCCCCGGAGGGTGATTTCTTGCTTTCTGTCTCTCTGTCTTTCTGGTGAGCACATGCACCCTATAACAAACACCTCTCCTTAAATAAATAAATAAAGTTGAGTCTGGAAAAGGATGCAGAAGAATATACATTCCCTTGCTACACAGACAGGGGTACTGTAGTCACAGCATGATTTTTAGGACTTTTGTTACTTCAATCCTAAAATATCCTGCAAAGGAGTACAGCATTGTTGGGAACTTCCCTGGTCATTGGCTGATGGTGTAGACAGTGTTTTTGAAACTAACTATGGAGGAAACATAGATCCTGAGAACTCTGTAACAGTTCAAATTTATTTTAAAATGAAGTGTTCTTATTTATTTTAAAAGTTCTACTGAATCACTCTATTCTAATACTTCGAATACGTGTAACTTAGAGCAGCGGTTCTCAAAGCACGGGCTCATGCCAGCGCCATCGGCATACAAATGGACATTTTGTGCCACAGCTCAGACCTGAATCGCGTCACTAGAAACTGGCGGTTTGGCAAGTTCTCAAGTGAGTCTCATGGACACTACTGGGAAGGATCACTGACTTCGGTAAACGAGATTGTCATACACAAAGGACCAGCAAGGTGCTGGATTCCCACAAGCCCAACTGCGGTTCGAGCTCCAGGCCTGGTGGCTTGAAAATTATGTCCTGTGCTTATACATGCATGCCCAAATCCTGAGAAATCGAGGGGAAGGGATTGCGGTGTGGCCATCCCCTCTGAAGGGTGATTTCTCACTTCTCCTCTCACTGTCTCTCTGTCTCTTGGCAAGTGCACACAGCCTTTGGCAAAAACCTCAAAGACTGAAAGAAGGCCGAATTCAACTTTCTATGCACCCTCTACAATGTACCAGAATTGGGGAGGCCCCAGGGTGCAGCTAGTGAGCTGATGATCTTCAACACCCTCAATGAGCAAACATACAACAAACCATTTTTCTCCCTTTGAGAAAAGTCCTGAAATACTGATCATGAAAGGAAAAAAGTATAAACCATCGGTCTTTAGGACATTCAAGACCTAATTTCTCAGTTTCACAGGTACAAAAGTTTAATAATAAAAATATTAGCAAGCATTACCAAATTTAATTTTTAATGCTATTAAAACATGAAAAATAAGAAAATGAAGCTAATCCTATACCAGAGGTCTTCAAAACGTTTGTGGAACATGTGTATTATCTTAAAAAGCCTGGATTCCAAATTATTCTTATACCAAAATAAACTTTTAAAGTCCCCTGGTATAGTGCAAAATTAAAAGTGTTTGTTTTCAAAGTCCAAAAGGCAATTCTGATTCAGAGCTAGCAGCGTATGAGCCTAAGGATGCTAAAAATTATAAACCCACGGTTCTAGGTAAGAAGGCCCTCCGCCGGCTCTCCAGCCTCCCGCACTGCGCGGCCCAGGTGCGGGCCTGCAGCCCGCCTAGTCCGGGACGGGGAAGGGCAGCGCGCTGACCACGTCGCCGGCCTCCGTGACGATGGCGTCGTACACCCAGCGCCGGTTGCAGCGGCACTCGGGCCCGCACTTGTTGGAGTTGCACTTGGGGCAGGGGTAGAAGCAGCCCAGGCAGTTCTTCTCCAGGCAGTCGCACAGGTCCACGGCGTTGCAGACCAGCCGGCCGCTGCGGTCGTACTTCCTCATCACTCTGGAAAGCAGAGGGCGACGCGGCCATGACAACCGGGCCCGCGGGTCGGCCACCGCAGCCCGGCCAGGGCAGCCCGGCCGTCGGACCCTCATCCCCAGCACCCAGGGGACACGGCCCAGTCTACGTAGAAGTGGGATGGCTCCCTCACTGCCTAGAAACGCGCCGAAGTTTGAGGTAAGACAGGGCCACTCTTGGACCCAGCAGGTGGTGTGGTGGTTAAGGCGCTCGACTCCTAAATGGCCACCCGCGGTTTGGGCCCCGGACCCGGCAGCTTGCTTCCTCACTCTCTCACTCGCTCTTTCTTACTCTGTTCCTCTCTGGTCAAATTAAAATAAACATTTTTTAAAAGAAGTTTAGTTTTTTAATAAAATAAAATAAAATATGACCATTCTTAGGACCAGCAGGTGGTGTAGTGGTTAAGGCGCTGGACTCCCACGTGGTCAACCATGGTTCGAGTCCCAGATCTGGTGGCTTGAAACTCACACATGCCCAAAATCCAAGGAGAAGAATGAAAGAGAACAGATTGTAGTCGTGTCCCCACCCCCCACCTCCCCACCGCCTGCCCCCCCTGCCAAGCTAGTTTCTCACTTTCCCTCTCACGGTCTCTCCAGTGAGCACAAACACCTTATGACAAACACTTTAAAAAAAAAAGATCAATGGTCATTCTTAATGGAATTATCCCTGATAAATTACATTTTTTTAGAAGCATTGTGCTGCATACAACTACTTTTTAAAAAAATTATTTACTTAATTTTATTTAGTTAGTTTAATTGACCAGAGAGAGAAAGGGAGAGAAAGTGAGAAGGCAAGCCACCTGGCTTGGGACTTGAACCACAGCAGGTCATGTGGGAGTCCAGTCCTCTAACCACCATATCACCTGCTGGCCCCACAACTACATTGTTTTTAATGACTCAAGATTTCAAGATCAGTCACTACACCATAACACTAATGATAATCACACACTACAAAGATGCTTCTTTGCTGGGACCAGCAGTTGGCATAATGGCTATGTGGCTGGACACCCATGTAGTCAACCACGGTTCAAGTCCCAGACCTGGTGGCTTAAACTCATGCAGGGCGCGTGTGCATGTATATCCAAGATCCCAAGAGGAGAATGGAGGAAAAGGGATTACGGCGTGGTCATCCCCCTTGGAGGGTGATTTCTCGCTTTCTGTCTTTCTGTCTCTCTTGGTCTTTCTGGTGAGCACATGCGCCCTATAGCAAAAATTTCTTAAAAAAAAAAAAAAAAAAAAAAGAATATTATT